GATGGTTCATTTCCACAAAGGATGCCTTTCTCATAGATGCTGTTTGCTGATGAAAAGTCTTGTAGGTTTCCCACCAGTAGAAGTTGCTTAATTACATTTTATGCATGCTCTTAGAGTACCTGTATGGTGAGAACCTGACAAATGGTCTTCTGAAAGCAAATCAATTCTGTTCTCTTGGGCTTTTTTGAATATACATGATGTCCGGAGCCTGAAAAGCTCAGCAGTAGCACAAGAGGAAGCCAAACAGTAGGGCGCCAGTTAGGCTCTATGGTTCTGTGAAAGACTTTGTAGCCTCATGTAAAGAAAAAAAAGAATGTGTCATTGGCTGCAGAGAGTAAATGGAACCTTCTTGTCTCCTTTGCTCTTGTCTCCTTATAAATAAAGCATTGTTGTCCATCCTTGGCATTTGCAGTTCATTGTGATAAATTGGTCTTGATGTGTCTGACATTTTAACCAAGTTGTTTAATGGTCTATTTCTGAAAAGGCAGACCTTGCTTTCGTTTACATCTGCACAGAGTATCCAGCTTTGACGGTCACTGTCACGTACGCCATTAACCATTTCCTTCCCAGGTGTATGAAGACCAGAGAAGAAGAGAAGGTACTAAACGTTTTGGTCACATAAGTCCAAAGCGTACTAAATTCTGTAAGCAAGATAGGAGACACTCCTGCCAATAAATAAACCAAGCACGATTTGCGGCTGTTACGGGGAGACCGTTTCATGGCTCGTGCAGCATGTTAAATCCTATTGCATTTTAATTATCTTGGTATCTCTAAGAAGCAGCTTGTAGAAATATTTTGGGTATTTCTCCAGTACGCTCACTTTGATTTTCTTCAGTTTCTCTCTCTCATATCTCATTTTTGTGCTGAGTACTTGACTTAAGTGCAAAGATCACTTAGTCACAGTAGCCACTGGGGCCTAGCTCAGTGCAAACAGTTGATGATCTGCGACAAGTGACAGCTTTTGTCCCTGTACCCTGCAAATTCATCTGGTCTGATTTACTTTTTGTTAATGTCTCTAATTACTCTGTCAATGAGATAATTAACCTCATTCTACTACTCTCTGTGTATAGAATTCTCCTGTCCCTCTCTTCCCCATTCTTCCTAGTCCCCTAGGCTGTTTGGCTGATTTAGACAGATGGCTAGAGTAGTGCCCACTATTAAATTGTGAATGCTGCATAGCCTTCCTGCTGGTCAATGATTTCATTATATTACAATGTCAGTTGTCATTATATATTCTGTTCCTCAAAACCAGATGTGCTAGGGAATATTTCCCACTCCCTTCACCTTCATGCCAAGCCTCGCTTCAGATCTTCTCTTCCTGTGTGTGACACACATACAGGAGATTGTATTTGAAAACATCAGTTTGAAACAAAATGTTGAAACGGGTTAAGTATTTTGACATTTTCAATCTGCACAGGTTTTTTCAACTGAAATTGCTGAGTTCTATCCAAACTCATGAATAGTCTCAGTGCCCCCAACAATGTTAGCTTTTTTCTTTCTGTCTTCTGAAACTTCCCCACTGCTCCAAGATTTATTAAAAATCAATATTAACGATCTAGCAGTCTCCTGTGCCAGTTCTTTTAAAATTTTATTCTAGCCCTGCTGATTTAAAAATGACTAACTTTAGTAGCTTCTGTTTAACATCCTCCAGAGACATTAGTTGACATGGAAAGAGGGTTATCATCACCACGTGTCCCTGTACCATCTACTTTTCCCCAAATACACAACATGAATATTTAACACTTTTTTTTTCTTTTCTGCATTTTTATTAATAATTCTGCTATTTCTATCTAGTAATGAACCAATACCATTGTCAGGATTTTTTTTCCTAATATAGTTTTTTTTTTTTAAAAATCTCCTTAACTCTATTGGTCACAGAGTTCTACTAGTGTCTCTTTGCTTCCCTTATCAATTTTCTATAGTTCCTAACTTCTAATTTATACACATTATAGTAAAGTTCCCCTTCCTTCCATTTCCTATATATTATTATTATTTTATTTATTATTTTATAACTATCTTCTCTTCCTCTCTAAACCAAGTTGGTTTTTTAATTAGCACATCCTTCTTCCTGAATTGTGGGGTTGTAACTTTTTGGGAATGTAGTAAGATGTTCTTAAATGGTTCCCAATTATCATTCACATTTTTCTGATTAAATACTTTCTCCCAGGTGATCTGGCTAACTATTACTTTTCAGCTTTGTGAAACTGGCCCTGTTAAAGCATCAAGTAGATATGTCACAAATCTGGTCTTCAGATGAAGAAGTGGGTTGTGCCCATGAAGGCTCATGATACCATCTATATTTTTTAAGTATCAGAGGGGTAGCCGTGTTAGTTTGAATCTGCAAAAGCAACGAGGAGTCCTGTGGCACCTTATAGACTAACAGATTTATTGGAGCATAAGCTTTTGTGGGCAAAGACCCACATCTGACAACGTGGGTCTTTGCCCACGAAAGCTTATTCTCAAATAAATCTGTTAGTCTATAAGGTGTCACAGGACTCCTCGTCCTCATTTTTTGTTAGTCACGAATGTGCTGCGGGACTATTTGCTGTTTTTAAGTTTTTTCAGTTACAAACTATCATGGCTACCCCTCTGAATCTTTTGTCTATATCTGTTAGGACTAACTTTAATATAGAATTCCCTCTTGCTGGCTGCAGCACTTTTTTGAGTTACTTATTATTTTTCTGAAGGAAAACATCATTTCTGGAGTTTTCAGAAATCTGTTTTGAAGGGGATATTAGATTTCCAGTCGAAATTGGCAACCAGTGAAGGCTGCTGACTCCTATTTGTGTTTTATTATTTTTGCAGCTCAGTAAGATGTTCTCTGTTAATGAGTGCTCCTCATGGCTTATCATTTGCCTGTCAGAATGGGATTATTTGAACCCTTGAAACAAACTGGAAAAGGGCTGCAAGGCACAGCCGTACAGTTCTGATGGTTCTCACATGGTGAACACATTGAGTTAATAATGTCATGGCTAGCAATGTATGGAAAGAGACTGTAGTAATGGTAATCTTGTTCCATGGTGCAAGTGGATTGCTGCAGGGGATGCATTCCTGTACAGTATTGCTCAGTTGAGTGGTGACCTGATTTCAAGAGGTGTTGTCTTGCTGACTTTCGTGGAATTAACTGAAGATCAAGCTAATGGTGTACTATGAAACTGGGGGCAGAGGGAAAGGCAGATTGTCTTCTTCTGAAGTATCAGATATGGACAATTGTCAAAGGCAGGATTCTGAACTTGCCTCGATACACTAGGGATCTGATCTGGTTTGACAAATATTTTGTTTCTAACAGAATACCTAGTAATGTTGGGAGAAATCATTCATATTTTATTAGTCTTTCCAAGATTAGCTGATAGTTCTATTAATAACAATTTTTTTTTAAAAAAAAAACCCTAAATATGGTATTTTGTGACCACTGCATAATCTACAAGGAATATAATTTAAACAACATGCAGTGAGAAAATAGAACTAGGTTCTGTCCCAGTGCTTTCTTCTCCCAGACTTACAAAGCAGCAGTTACATATCTTATTAGCTGGCTGGCACGAGTGAGTGAGTGCTGGTTTTGCATGATTTATTGGTCTCCCAGAGCTCACAGAAGTAGAGGTTTCTACAGATAGCAAGCTCACCCATGGGAGAGAGGGATGGGGGAGAGGGGAGGCAAAGTGGGCAGTTGCCCTGGAGTCTGGTGATTCAAAGGGGCCTGAGGCTTTGGCAGCAGTAGTGTCTGGTGCCCCGGGCCCTTTAAATCGGCAATGGGGCGGCACACCCCAGGCTGGCTGTCCCTGGCTCCACCCTAGGTGCCACCTCTTCCAGGAGTATGGAGCCACCCGTTCTCCCCCACCATGCCCAGAGACCCATGGAGGCTGAGTGTGCCTCTGACAGCAATTCAGGGAACTAAGAAGATAGAGAAAATAAATCTGCCATTAGCCTTTATGATTGAGACTTCTTTCCAGGTAGTTGGTTGGCACTTCTAGGGTGATTAGAGGTGATTCTGAGGTTTGGCTCTTAAAGTTGGCTGTGAAATCAGTTGGGGGATACTGCTATCCACAGTCTCCCAGCCAGCACAAGGTGTAAGTGCTTACACAAGGCTTATGCGAAGCATGTTTTTCTTCTGTGTTGAGACTCTTCCCTTCATAATTAAAACCTCATCCTGTCACACACAGTCTTATCAGCATTAGTACAAATGGAGAAATCCAGCTGAAAACAACATTTTCTAAAAATAGAAATTGAAATGATCAGTGCGTGACTGTCTAATTAGATGAACATTCCAGAGTACTTAATTATATGGTTTAAACTACAAAACGCTATGGGATTGTGTAGAAAAGTTACATTAAAAATAGATGTACAGGTATATATCAGAAATAACTCCACTGGCATCCAGGGAGTTTCAGCAGTGAAAAACTAGTATAAATGAGAGAAGAATGGGAACTACGGTGCATCGGTGCATTTTCTTTTATATACTAGAGCTTCTGTTTCTGCAAGTCTCTCTTTCCCCTAAGCTTCTTTGTGGCCCAGTGTCTTTTACCGTGGTGCTTTCTAATTTTCAGCCAATTGTAGTTGTACGTGTGCAAAATCTGTAAGTTTGTGATTATCCTGTCTGCTTATCTTTCTTGCCTTATAGGAAATTGCTCTTGCTTCATGAACTTCAGAAATTGCTGAGTAGCAGCCCAGAAAAACAAAATCCAACAATAAAAAATGTACTACATAATTAGCTGCTACTAGAGCAATTAATGATAAAAATGTGTCAAATTATTTTTGAATATTTAAATAAAAATCAGTTCTGAAGTTCTTTTATTGTGATATAGCTGTGTTTGAGTTTCAGTATTTTAAACACGCCCAATTCCCATCGATATCAATGGACTCTCCCACTTACAGGGATTTTATCTGGATATCAGTTTCAGAATTTGTGTGCTTTAAATTTAATAAAACCAAGATCTCTTTAATGTTTACTCTTGCTTTCATATGTTCATTTATTTTCCTTTCTTTTATTGTATTTTTTTAAGCCAAACAAGTGTGTTCAGCGGAAAAAATTAGCTGTGGAAACTCAAGCAACAAATGTATCCCATCATCCTGGAGATGTGATGGAGAGAAAGACTGTGAAAGTGGAGTTGATGAAGCTGGTTGCACTGCTGGTGAGTAATAATAATACCTACTATCTACACAGCAGCTTTCTTCCAGAAAGCTCCAAATGTGATTTATAGAAGGGAAGGGATGAGTTTTTCACCAACAAACTCCAGTCACTCTATATTGCTATTAAACAGATTTTAGGAAGAAAAACAAAGGTTAATGTCACCAGTTGAAACTATTTGAGGACTGCAGAGTAGATTTTGTGTACAATTAAGTATTCTTTTGTCACTCTACTAGAATGGAATTAGAGCTACAAGAACACAGCTTGAATTTAGTTAAGATATATTGGCTAGCATGCTTACTCATGCAAAACATGCTGTAGGGACTTAAACGGGCAACAGACTGGTTTTGTACGTCTTCCTGAAGCCTAACTTCGCATTTGGCTATATTGAATCACATTTTGTGTAACAGGGCTGAGGTTACCAAGCAATTCAGCTCACTCTGTACGACTGCCCTGTTGTCATTATTTACCACTACACCAATCTTTGTGTCATGTGGAAATGTTATCAGCAATGGTTTATTAATTTTGTTGAATCGCATCAGGCCCAAAACCAGTCCTTGTGGGGCACCTCTAGTAATACCCTATCCAAAGATGATTCCTCTTAAATGACTTTTTTGTGTTCTCTTAGTTAGTCAGTTCTTAATCCATTTATCATTTTTTCTGTTGATATTGTGTAGTGCACATTTCTAATCAGAGCTTTGTGGGGTATTAAGTAAAACCTTACAAAACCCTAAGTATAAGACATCTAGATAGTTACATTTTTCAACTAAACTTGTAATCTCATTGAAGAATGAAATAAGGTTTGTTTGATGAGACTTATTTTCCATAAAACCACATTGACTGGAATTAATTAATTATATTCCTATCTTTTAATTCTTATCAATTGAATTGTGTATCATCTTTCCCATTATTTTCCTGGGACTGATGTAAGTCTTAACTGGCCTCTAGTTACTGGGGTCATCCTCCTTGCCCTTTTTGAATGTTGGCACATTAGTATACTTTCAATCTTCTCGTATTTCCCCTATGTACCAAGATTTGTTAAAAATTAATACTAGCAGGCTGAAGATCTTAGCCTACCTCGGGTGCAAGTTATATAGGCGTGCTTTTTAAAAAATATGTACCTAGGAAATGTTACCTACCATCCTCTTGAGGTACTTATAGTCTAGAAATTACTTCCATTGTTGTATGCAATGTTCTTGTAGCTGTGCCCGTCCCTGGATATTAGAGACAGGGTGGATAAAGTAGTATCTTTTATTTGGCCACCTTTGTTAGTGAAAGAAAGAAGCTATCCGGCTTACATAGAGCTCTTATTCAGGTCAGACTGAAGTTGGTCCAATAAAAGATATTACCTCACCCACATGTCTCTCTGGAAAGTCCTTCATCCTGCTTAAATGGTAAAAGTACCTCACCTTGCTGCTTTCTAAATAGAGAGCAGAAGACAATAGTTACAATACATCTAGATAATATCACAAAACCATCTCAGATTTTGCTATCTCATTAATAAGCTATCCAGACTTCTTTAACAATATGCTCTTTTATCAGTGAACATTTTGCAATAGATTGTTTACCTCCTCCTCTCTCAAAGGTATCTGATTCCATGCAAACACCTTTCCATTTAATATTGCAGTAAGCCTAAGGATTCTCCAATGTGGTTGACAAAAACCAGCCTGGAAGTCTGCAGAATTTATTTTTAATAGGCAACCCAGGCTGGGAAGGAATAGCATTTACACTGTAATCTCTCTGGGACAGAACTCTTGCTAATGGTCTGACTTGTGAGGTGCATAGCACACATCTGAGGGTCGTACAAATAATGATAATTAATAATGGAAGGTAAGGCCATGAAGAGATCTTATTCAGAATGCTCCATGCAATGGGTAAAGTTTGAAAACCATTGCAAGAAATAATGTGTCTGTAGCAAGGTCGACATCCACCTCTAGCAAGCACCTCCTTTCTCTGATCGATATAGCCTATAATCAGCCCAATGGTTAGTTGTGTTTGTTTTTCTTTCATTCTTACAACAGGGTGACACCTCTCTTACCCCTTCCACCGGGCTGATGGGGGTCTCGGTGAGTCTTCAGTGATTCAGCTCTCCAGTGAAGCTGCACCTTTCAGGGTATACAGTCCAAGTTCTTATCATGGCCCTGGTTTGTGGCCATAGGTCCAGAGCTTTTCCCAGGTGCACTTTCTTGTTCACCCCAGCCGGGGCTCATCTCAGTACCTGCAGCTGGTGGCATTTCAACAGGCCTCCCTGGCCTCAGTCTTAAGTCAGATCAGTGGGGTCCATCTTGGTACCCTCATTGGTCCTGGGCTTCAGCCTGCCCACACCGACCTTCCACTGGCCTGCTGCTCCCCTGCCATCCAGGCACTCTGTTTTCAGAAGTCTTCCCTGGGTTTCAATCCTGCCTGCAGTGGGTGCGCTATAGTGAGCTGTCCATAGAACTGCTGCTCTTTCAGCTAGTCAGTTACCAGGGCTTCACTCCTGGAGCGCCACACAGCAACTGAACTTCTCTGCTCTGCTGCTTGTCTTATAGAGAGACCTTCTAGTCTCTCATTGCTGCTTCATCAGCCCCTCTAATTGATTGTTCTTCTGCAGCCACCGTAGGCTGCCTGGAGGACTTCTCTCTGCTCTTATTCTGGGATAGGGTGACTCAGGGTCATGAGACCTTCAGCAGTGGGCCTCTAGACGTAATCCACCCTGCCGAAGTTCCAGATGCTCAGCCATTATAAATCGGAATAGTTCCTTGAGTTCAACAGAGCTATGACACGGAGTCTGAGGATCTGGCCTAAACTGTTCACCAGCTACCAAAGCCAAAGGAAAAAGCTTTTGTCTACTCTGAATGAAATATGTCCCCTAATTTTGGTATTGTGGGTGTAGTAATTTTCCCCAGGTCAAACATTTATTGCTTTACAATTCAAAACAAAAAAAATATTATCAGCACAGTAAGTGGGAAATAAAAAAAATTACCCAAAGGAGTTTTCTTTAGCCACTAATTACATGTGGGGAGGGGAATGCAGTATTTAATGGTTGCTGATAATTCTATGAACTGTTGAGTACATTGACCTGTATGATATGGTCCATTGAAAGATTTTTGGATAGTTACATATACGCCATTTTTTCTTCAGTTATTCTCAGTTCTTTTAAACATTCTCAACCTCCAGTGTGGTGAGATCGACAAATAAAATACTATGGGACATTTAGAAGGACAAATTCAGATCTCATTTTTAGTGTGGCAACCATACTGAGTTCAACAGTAGAACTGGCTTTATGTGTTGGGAGCATGCACCTTACAGCATAAAATAAATTGTTCTCTGTGTTCCTTACTGAAATTCCTTTTGCCCTCTCACATGCAGTTCAACCCAGGACGTGTTGTAGAAGAAAATAAGCACATTGTTCATGGTGAATTTCCATTTCGTATTTTAGTGGATTTTATTCATAAACTAAACATACAGGAATGAGCTATTAAGTGAATGAATTTTGCCCAGCTGAATTAAGCCCTTGCGCTGGGCTTATTAGGCAACTGCACAGTTGAACCTTGGTAACACTGCCCCTTAGTTCAGACTTAGGAGGTGTTAATAACAGAGTACAACAGTGGGGATGCTAAGGGCACAAACTTAAAAGGTTCCAGGGTCACACTAATGTGCACTATTCAAACTCCTTTAGTCTGAATTGCATGGCAGTACACAGGTGCCCTTAGATTAGGAGCCTAAATCGCATTGACTTTCAATGAGACTTCAGCTTCAAAGTGCCTGCCTCACTTTTGAAAATGTGACTTAGGTTTTTTTACCCATTGTATATATTACTCAAAATAAATTTCCATAAAAATACATATTATATGCATTTTTCTATTGAGTTGAAAAGAAAATTGGATAAGAGGATGTTTCAGCTCTCCATCAGAATTACTAGTTTCTTAAAAAGGTGATTTTTTTAAAGTGCTGAATTAATGATCTTAAAATAATTTAAGAGCTAAAATCTGCAACTCTCATTTTAGTTCAGGATGAGCAATAATGTTTGGTGGGGGGCCACTCCAAGATTTTGGTAAGTGGTCAAGGGCTGCATTTTTCTGTGGAGGGGGTACAGGCTCTAGGTTGGAGGTTGGGCGCAGAAGGGTGCATAGGGTAAGGGACTGTGGTGCAGGAGATGGCGTGGGGTCTGAGAGGGTGTTTGGGTGGAGGAGAGGATTGTGACCTGGGCTAGGGGATTGGGTTGTAGGGTTAGGGAGGGAGTGTGGGTGCAGGAGAGGATTCTGACCTGGGGGAGGGGGATAGGGAGGGAGTTGTCACCTGGGGCAGGAGGTGCAGAGGGTTTGGATGATGATCTGGGGAAGGGAATTGGGGTGCAGGAGGTGTTGGGGTACCAGAGTCAGGCGCTGGCTGGGAGGAGTTTACCTACGTGTCTCCTGGTCAGCAGGCTGCAGCACCCCAAGGCAGGCTGGGCTCCCTGCCCATTTCAGCCCCCGCCCGCTTGAAAATACAGGCTGCCCCTCCACATGGCTCCCTGCTTGGCATGGGGGAAGAGGCTTGTGCTGCCCCAGTCTCTCAAGCCAATCTCTCAGCTCCAATTGGCTGGCTGTTTCCAGCCAATAGGAGCTGAGAGATTGGCTGAGGTCCGTTCTTATTGGCCGGTTGTTTCTGGTCAATAGGAGCTGAGGATTAGGCTGCTGGGGGCAGGGAGATTGAATGACGCCTTCCCCTCCCTGCAGAGCAGAGAGCTGCAGGGACTGTGTTTTAAACCGCAGCAGCTGCGTGTGCCTGAGAGTCCTAGCAATATGGTCCATAGCCCTGGATCTGGTGGCTTGGTGGGCCAGATCCAGACCCTCGACCGTATTTTGTCCAGCCCAGTTTTAGTTGCTCTGCTTACATAAACAAAGATCGCAGTATTGAGTACACGTTTAATAGAAAGCTGTTTTAAATTGCTTGCAGTTAATTTAATTTTTAATGCTCAGAAGTAACCCCTGAAAATGTAATACACTGTGTTCTAAGTATCAGTTGATTTCAAGATAATTA